CTATAGTTAAGTTGACTATTACATTTAGTGCCTGGGTTCGTGTGGCTTACTATAGTTAAGTTGACTATTACATTTAGTGCCTGGGTTCTTGTGGCTTACTATAGTTAAGTTGACTATTACATTTAGTGCCTGGGTTCTTGTGGCTTACTATAGTTAAGTTGACTATTACATTTAGTGCCTGGGTTCTTGTGGCTTACTATAGTTAAGTTGACTATTACATTTAGTGCCTGGGTTCTTGTGGCTTACTATAGTTAAGTTGACTTTTACATTTAGTGCCTGGGTTCTTGTGGCTTACTATAGTTAAGTTGACCATTACATTTAGTGCCTGGGTTCGTGTGGCTTACTATAGTTAAGTTGACTTTTACATTTAGTGCCTGGGTTCGTGTGGCTTACTATAGTTAAGTTGACCATTACATTTAGTGCCTGAATTCTTGTGGCTTACTATAGTTAAGTTGACTATTACATTTAGTGCCTGAATTCTTGTGGCTTACTACAGTTGATCATTTATTAAATCTAGTACCTTGGTTCTTGTGGCTTACTACAGTTGATCATTTATTAAATCTTGTGCCTGGGTTCTTGTGGCTTACTACATGTATAGTTGATAGATTATTAAATTTAGTGTCTTGTGGTTTATTCGATTATAATTGTATTAGGCTCTTGTGATTACTAACAGTAACTCCATTAGTGTTTATAGGTAGTAATGATCTTTAAGATATGGTAATTGTTCAGTGCATGTACTGCAGTGTGTGTGGACAGCCATTTTTTATTCTCTACACACAATTTTTATAATTATTTTTTCACAGTATTTAATGGACACTAAAGTTGACTTGATGTACGAGAGCTTTTTATCCGAGTTGTTGTCTGAGCAGCATTTACCTCCTAATCCATATCCCAGATTGTTATCATTGTTTAGACAAGCTGGTATGAAGTAAGTAAATACAAATTACTATTCTATAATGCAAGTGTTGTTTATGTAACATATTCTGTTTAATGAGATGCATCTTTGAGGCACAGTTTGTCATAATATTTTGACCAAAAATTCTGTTTTTAGGCAAAAATCTTTTCATGAATGAATCAAAAAAGTTAACCAGATTTGGCTCAAGAATTAGGGTTCATTTCCAGAAGTAGAGTTCATTTCCAGAAATATTGAAGAATGTGATAAAAAAGTGTAGAAAAATTGGGCTTGAAATTCTGGTGGTGAAAAGGTTAAATGTCATCTTAATTATAAATAATAGCTAATTATATAAATGTGATTAAGAAAGTACACCTCATTCTTAATTAGTTTGTTCCTTACAGGATGACTCTATGGGGTGAAAGTAATGATCAAATTAAATCTAAAATACTACATTCTGGGGGTAAATTGGTAGATGCTGAGAACTATGTATATCACTTAGCTGGCTGTGATGTGTATGGTCTTCAAACAGCTCTCACATGTATTGATGTGCCAAACTTTCAAAAGGTGGTAATCATTGCAAAGCAATTTGTGAATACTGAGTTCCCACAAAGAAAAGGTCAGTTCAAGGTGAGTTTAATATCATAAATAATAATAATGTGTAGATATTGATATACAGCCATATATTCAGATATTATATTATTACCTCAATCCTCAAACCTTCTTTCACTCCCTGGAGAGCAGACAACCTGTGCTCATGCACAACGATCCCTACCCTACCAGATTCCCATTTACTCCTAGATGGAAAGAAGCTGAAAAGTGCTTTGCCCAAGAAAATCATTAACCAACAAGATTTAAGCCTCTGATTGTGATTCTAAAGTCATTGCCTTTGTACCACAATGACTTTAGGGATTTGTTGTGGTACATTAGTTTAGTGTTTTTTTTTTCAATTCTAGATTTACCCATTTTTGTTAATGGCTTAATATATTGTAGATTGCAATGGTGTTTGCTGTCAGTGGATGGTCACCTTGGTATGGACAGTTAATGCCATATATAATCAAACTAGATCTACATGAACACTGTTATTTTAAAGGACCAATAGGTTGCCATGGTGAAGCTATTCTTATTTACATTGATATTGGTAAGTATTGATAGACACCCCTCTCCCAAGATAGATGCTATGAGCTCAGTGCAGATCTAGACACCCCTCTCCCAAGATAGATGCTATGAGCTCAGTGCAGATCTAGACACCCCTCTCCACAAGGGCTATCAGCTGAACGCAAACACCACTCCTCCCACCCTGAGTCGACCTCACTCAGATTTGTTCATTTCGTAATGATATATTCAATTCTCTAATTTTGATTAACATGTTTGTCATTTTTAGTGAAAAGTGATATTTTAGAATTCTTGCTGAAAACAGCAAGTTCGATTGCTTTGATACTATACATATTGTTTATTTTCTAATGATATCTTCAGTTCTTTAATTGTAATGTGCATTGCTAACAGCAGAGCTATTTCAGCCAACAGGCTGCTTGTATTAGATGCAGTCCGAAAACAGGAATTTATGTTTTGACTGCTATGAGTGTGTCTGTGCATCCACCTGTATCTGGGACATGCCTGGCTCGTTCATGCGACATGCCTGGCTCGTTCATGCGACATGCCTGGCTCGTTCATGCGACATGCCTGGCTCGTTCATGCGACATGCCTGGCTCGTTCATGCGACATGCCTGGCTCGTTCATGCGACATGCCTGGCTCGTTCATGCGACATGCCTGGCTCGTTCATGCGACATGCCTGGCTCGTTCATGCGACATGCCTGGCTCGTTCATGCGACATGCCTGGCTCGTTCATGCGACATGCCTGGCTCGTTCATGCGACATGCCTGGCTCGTTCATGCGACATGCCTGGCTCGTTCATGCGACATGCCTGGCTCGTTCATGCGACATGCCTGGCTCGTTCATGCGACATGCCTGGCTCGTTCATGCGACATGCCTGGCTCGTTCATGCGACATGCCTGGCTCGTTCATGCGACATGCCTGGCTCGTTCATGCGACATGCCTGGCTCGTTCATGCGACATGCCTGGCTCGTTCATGCGACATGCCTGGCTCGTTCATGCGACATGCCTGGCTCGTTCATGCGACATGCCTGGCTCGTTCATGCGACATGCCTGGCTCGTTCATGCGACATGCCTGGCTCGTTCATGCGACATGCCTGGCTCGTTCATGCGACATGCCTGGCTCGTTCATGCGACATGCCTGGCTCGTTCATGCGACATGCCTGGCTCGTTCATGCGACATGCTTGTCTTTTTGTTTCATGATCCAATTCAAGATGGCTAAATGTCAACTATTTTTGTGTTAAAAAATGATCGAAATCAAGAATTTCTGCTATAATTCCAAAACCGTATCTTGGTCATGTATGGACAGATTTTATTCAAACTTGGTATATTATGCGGCCTAGATGCATGTCATTTTGTTTTTCTGATAAAATTAAAAATGGCTGCCTGGTTCCCATTTTGGTTTAACAAAAGAGCTACATGTATATCTGAGACATCCTCAGACATTTTCAAACTTTACATATTTATAATACATCATGTTGCACATTTTAATATTTAAAATTCATCGAAATTGAGCATTTCTGCCATTCCGGAACCAGATTTTGGTGATTTATGTTTCGCTCTTGGTACAACATTGTACAAATTAGGAACCTGATGGACTGGCAGCTATTTTATTCTAGAGCTATTATCTTTGACATGTCCTGAGTTATCATGTTCAAACTTCAGGTATATATAGAATAGAATAGAATAATCCTTTAATGAAATTTGGTAATTGCTGTATTAAAGCTTTTTAAAATAAACTACAATTAAACTACACATACATAATAGATTCCAAATAAACAACTAAATCACACTGAAAATATATCATACAATTTGTTTTAGTGAATCTATCTCTCTCTGACATTCTGACCATTCATGTTCAAACTTTATATATTGCTGAGAACTCACTTGACTACAAGTATGTAATGTGATTACTTGTTTATCCTATAGTTCGAGAGTATTTGTTTCGTGAAAATGATAATGGTTCAGTGGTTGTTATGGGATTGTACATTGGTGAACATTCTAGATGGAGTATTGAGGACATCAAAAAGAAAAGCAGTGGTTTTGAATTAGAACTGTCCAAAGCTATTGAGGCAAAGCAAGCAGTTTATATCAAAGTGAGTGTTGAGACAACATGGTTATTTTGGGAACCATATTCAAATTGAATTACTATTATGCCAATTTATTTTCACTGCTTGCATACATGCACATTAAACTATATAAATATTGAGTTTCTTTCAATTAACACTTCATCTGCTTAGTGCATTGTTTACATTCATGAGAATTCAAACTGGACAGGAGTCAACATTACCCCTTGATGACATACTTTTCTCTGATTTAATTTTTCAGATGTACAAAGCAATTGGTTGGAGATATTTATGCATACAAAAGCATCTATTATTTCACTATGTTGATAATACAGAAGATGAGTAAGTCAGTCTAAATTTGTTAAACTTACAGTCATAACATTAGAACTTTAAACATGAACGTAAACTTTACAAAATAAAACACTAAATTGAGTTCTCTTTTTCGGCAAAAAGGGGGAGGGAGATTGCGCGATTCAGGTTAATACTTGATAGCAGCTTGCTTGGTTTCCATAGTTTCATGAAATATTTTTTATGAGCATATCCCACCTTCTGATTGTACAGTGGATCTTATTAATTTTACTTCTATACAATTTATTATAATTTTTTTTTCACAAATATCACTTAAACATTAACGTGTTAGTAGCATTTCACAGACACTTTAACACACACATATTCTGTTGGTAAATTGGTTCTAATTTTCTTGTTTATTTTTCAGTTATGAGACGTTCTTTCCAAACAACCCAGTTAGCTTATATCAAAACACGTTTTTCTTACATGAAAAGGTAATCGATATCCTAACATAAAATTTGTTAATTTGTTAATTTGTTATTGGGCCGAAATATGGGGTTATGAGTACTACGTAATTGTGGAGAGGGTGCAATTTATTTTTTGTAGATTTTTATTAGAAGTTAACTCTAATGTAAATACTGAAGTACTTTTAGGCAAATGCGGGAGATTACCCATTTTTACCTTGCCCGTACCATCAAAGATGGAAGGGAAAGGTATATTAAGGAGAAAATGTTCTGTACTAATTTAAAAACGCACTTCAAAAACAAAGATTGCAGTGTTTGAAGATGTAGATTCGCAGGAGGCAACAGTACTGTTGACTTCTCTCTCCACTGGACACCAACTAACTATTTAAGTTGATTTGCATACAAAGCAGAGCTTGCAACATGATAGCTATTCATAGAGGGTGTTTTTTTTTGACTCTTCATTTAATGAATCAGTAGTAACACAATGAATATAATAAGGTAGTTCATATTTGTCTCAGTGAATCATTAATTTTTGACATACACCTGTACAAAATACTTGGACAAAAGCCAGCTAAGATTTTCTGTTATCTTGCATGTTTTATGAATCTATTCACATCTAAATGCAGTACTTTTTTTCTGAGATGAGGCATTTGTTTTCATACTAAAATATCTGAATTACTTTGAATAAAGCTGGAAATTATGTCTCTTAAAATAATTTAAACAAATTAAGCACCAATGTTTTTGTAAGATATTTACATCTATCAAGGACATTTGGTAGACTGATTCTCCACTGTTGTTTCAACCCCAAAACTTGTTTGTATTCGAAATTAATTATGACAATGCATATTCATATTGAAACAAACTATGATAAAGGGAATAATATTATATATCAAAGGGCATGGTCACCAGAGTTAAACTACGTTCTGTACTTACATGAAACGTTGCATTTCATACTGGTTGAAACTTTTAAAAATGGATATGCACCGGTATCCTAGGGCCTATTATAAAACAAAGATCAGAGAGTTACTGTATCGATATGGTTTTGGAATTGTAATAACCCTAATAGTTAGAGACAGCAACATTTTCTTGGGTTTATTTCACAAATCAGGTAGATTGCGTTGTTATTAGTCCCCGTTTGAACGCAGTCCGAAAACGGGGACTTATGTTTTGACCTCTGTGTGTCCGTGCGTGCGTCTGTGCGTGCGTCCGAATCTGTATCTTAGAAGTGCCTGGATCAATCACAATCAAACTTCACACATACATTATACATGATATTATACATATGCACATCAATTTGTTTCACAATCTGATTCAAGATGGCCGAATGGCGTCCATTTTTGTGCTTAAAATGTTTACAGATGGATTTTGTTCAAAATTGGAATATACGTTAGACATTATAGGACCTTGATGCACATCATTTTGTTTTTCAGATAAGATTCAAAATGGCCGACTGGCGGCCATTTTGTTTTAATGAATGTGGTTCTAGTTCCATATCTCTGACTTGCTTTGACTGATTATGTTCAAATTTTAAATATTCGTTATAGATCATGTCATAGATATACAGATATAGTGGTTTGACGATTCTATTAAAAATGGCCGAATGGTGGCCATTATTGTGCTAAAAAATCATCAAAATCAAGCATTTCCCAGCTGTTTACGGATGGTTTTTGTTCAAACTTGGTACATATATTAGACATTATGGGTTCCTCATGCACATCATTTTATTTTTCAGGTCAGATTCAAAATGGCTGTCTGACGGCCATTTTGTTTTAATGAATGGGTTTCCAGACCCATATGTCTGACTTGTTTTGACTGATTATGTTCATATTTTTAGCTCCGCTGTCGACTTCGTCAGATATGAGTGATTGTCCGGTGTCGTCCATCGTCGTCCGTGTCAATGTTTTACTTTTTCGACTTCTTCTTGAAAACTACAAGCCTGAATGCTTTGATACTTCGTGTATATGTATCTTGGGTAGACCTCTCTCAGATTTGTTCATTTCATGATGATATCTTCAATTCTCTAATTTTGGTGAATATTTTTGTCATATTTGGTAGAAAGTGATATTTTCGACTTCTTGTTAAAAACCGCAAGTCCAATTGCTTTGATATTATATATATTGGGACTACATGTGGACCTCTCTCAGGTTTGTTCATTTCGTGATGATATCTTTAATTCTCTAATTTTGGTGAATATTTTTGTCATTTTTGGTAGAAAGTGATATTTTCGACTTCTTGTTAAAAACTGTAAATCCGATTGCTTTGATACTATACATATTGTTCATTTTTACCTTGCCCGTACCATCAAAGATGGAAGGGAAAGGTATATTAAGGGAAAAATTTTGTCCGGCGCTGTCGTCGTCGTCGTTGTTGTTGTCGTCGTCGTCGTTAATAATTGTTATTGTGTGCATAATAACTTTACTAATTCTATTCCAAACTTTATCAAACTTGGTCACCTTATTCATCAGTATAAGTCTTCCCTGAGTTTGAACAACAGATGTCCTGTATGAAAATATCATGCAAAAATTGAGAAAATCTGATAAAATATTTTGACTGTTTCTACTTGACTGATCACTGGTGATACACATCAAAGGTCACTGATCTCAGTGGAAATATGCATTGTTGTATGTGTTCATGAAGCAAATGATTTATCTTGTGATAATATCCTTGGTAATGTATCTCAGTATCCCATACTGGGTT